GTTCTTTTTCTTTTAGCATCCCATATTGCTATAGAGAAGTCTGATCCATTCTGAGCTCAAGTCCTTTGTATGTGACCCATTTTTCCCGCTGGAAGCTTTTAGGATCTTCTTGTCCTATAATCTCACAGGGAAGGATATAAATGTGGTCTTTGAAAAGTCCATTTTGCTGGGTACAAGATGGGTCTTTTCAATTTGGAGACCCATAGCCTTTAATTCTGGACATTTTTATTGTAATGTATCTTCCCTCCTTTCCTGAAATCTGAAGTTTTAGTGTTTCCATAGTATCTTCTAACCTTTGGTTTAATTTTTTGTTTTTGTCTTTCATGTTTTTAGTGAAATCTGAAATTTTAGTGTTTCAATATTATCTTCTAACCTTCTGTTTAATTTTTTTTTTGTCTCTGTCTTTCATGCTTTTAATTTCCAAAAGCTCTTTTCTCTTCACTAATGAATCTGTCTCCACGACAACTTATACTTGTTTTAGGATGGTAATATCTTTCTTTATGTCTCCAAAGGATTATAATTATATCAAGGTTTTCATTTTTTTTTAACTTAACTTTCGTTTCCCTGACATTTCTCTGCTTTTTACATTACCAAGTTTCTTTTTTCTTGTTTATTTTATTCTCTCATTCATGTTGGAAGTGTCATCAAAAGTGATCCTGTCTTTTGATAATCGAGATATTCAACTACAAATCAGAGCCCAGAGGTTCCTGGTAAGAGACTGATCAGTAGCCAACACTGGAGGCTGATTGAGCGGTGAGCTGCCTTCTCCCTAGGGAGCTCTCAAAAATTAGGATCTGAGCCGTTTTGTCTCGGATGAGTCAGTTTCTCCAGAAAGGGATCTTCCAGTCTTCAGCCTGGGGCAGGGAGTAGGGGCTGCCAGCATTCTGGGAAGAGAGCCGGAGTCTCACCTGTAGACTTGCACCTCTTCTCCATTTCCCAGATGGTATCTCATCCTGTACTCAGCTCTCTAAGTCTCGCTCGCCCAGAGGACAACGACATCTCCTGGGCTGAGATGGGGAAAAATGACCCTCACATCCAAATTCTCTGTATTCTGAATTGCAACAAATCCTCCTGTTTACTGCTACCTGTGGTAGCATCTGCTGTCGCCAAGCCTCGGCCTTTCTCTGGTTCTTCCCGGTAAAGTGGCTTGTTTCTCCCTGGAATCAAATCTACCCATTCCCCACAATCATCAAGGTTATCACTTCCCCAACTCCGGTAAGTCGAGTGCCACTTCTGTATATATTTTCCATATTCCAAAGTTTATTGAAGTCTCTTGTTCAATGATGTGTCCTCCCTCTCTCCTTTCCCATGGTCTTTGTTTTTACTGTTTTTTAAATTGAGGTAAAATTCACATAACACAAAATTTACCATTTTAACCACTTTAAAGTGTATAATTGCATGGCAACTAGTACATTCACAACACATTTTCATTACCCCAAAAGGAAACCCTGTACCGATTAAGCAGCCACTTCCCATTCATTCTGCCTTCTCCCTAGCACCTGGAAACTACCAATCTGCTTTCTGTCTCCATGGATTTGCCTGTTTTGGATTTTTCAAATAAATGGAATCATACAATATGTGATATTTTGTGCCTGGCCTCTTAGCATGATATTTTCAAGAATCATGCATGTGATAGCATATATCAGTACTTCATTCCTTATTATGATTGAATAATAATCTATGGCATGTATGTACCACATTTTTTATCCATTCATCAGTTGATGGACATATTCCTAGTCCTTTATTTCTTTTCTCTCGGGGGAGGTTAAAGTTGGGAAGAGAAGATGAGAATATGAGTGGTTGATCAGAAGTGTTTAGCCAAAACAATACTGCCAAGTATTAATGCCATCTCTATCCTACCAACCAGATGGCAGCCTGGCTCTCATTTTCACCTCTGTTTGGAAAATAAGTTCTGTGACTAGTCCTTGTTAGAATCACCATCAAAAGGATGTAGTTCATCCCATTAGTGTCACAAATAGAAATCTCTTCCTCTTCCCTGGCTTGAGATTTCCAAAAAGGTGCTTGGAAATCCCAAATTGTTTGAAACAGCATGATAGTTTGCTCATTAGAGAAGTACGTTTTAATCCCGGGAGTAGCTATAATTAAGTATAAAACTGATAAATTATTTCAAACTCACAGAATAACATATTTGTGTTAAAGAATAATTCATGTGTAGTTAGTATTTTAAGAACTCATAATCTCATTCTACAGAACCTCAGACTCCACACCCTAGAATTACAGCCAAGTAATTTTGAGACATGAGCAACACCGCAGTTGGAGAATTGGTAGAGAGAGATAAGTGTATCTTCTCAGCTTCACTGCTCATTTTCAGAATATCCCAGGTGGATAACAATAGGGTAACACAAAAAAAATCAAAAAAATAAAAGGCTATGAGATGCTACTATGTCCAAATTTGCTGAAAAGATTACTTTCGAAGTCAATTTCCAGAATGAAAGAGTTTGGGGAGGTTACGTTGAAGTGCCTATCTCTTGAGTTCCTTAAAAATATAAAATCTGAACCACTCCTAGAGAAGGTGGTGAATACTTCCCAAAGGTTCAGCCAACAAGGTTGATGGAAAAACACAAGCTCCCAGAGAAAGTGTCACAAATAGAAATCTCTTCCTCTTCCCTGGCTTGAGATTTCCAAAAAGGTGCTTAAGGCAAATTCTTACTTTAATTCAGCCTTACCTTTCAGCACCGCTGGCCACAGCGCTAACCCTCCTTTGTCCTGATCTTGGAAAAGAGAGTCTCTCCATTGCTGCTTTCTCGGGATTCCCCAGGCCAGGGGGGTTCAGCCCTTCCCAGGAGGCTTCTGTGATCCCTTGGGAAGCAGAGGCAACAGAGCAGACTGGAAGGCTTCCTGGATGAGCCCCAGGGTTGAGCAAGCACGTCAGTTCCCTTCCTACGTTGTCTGTCTCTCACGACAGGAAAGACATGGGCCACCTCTTGCACAAAGGGCCATGCTCTATAGGTTTCCAGCACTCTTTCCATGGTCCTCAGGGGCTGAAAGGCAAGTTCCTTGACATGAGTATCAGACAGCTCCTGGGAGATGAATGGCACCACAGTGAACAGAGATCTTAGCCCATCTGCTGGGCCTGTGTGCAGGCCAGCACCGAACCAGGCTTTACAGAGACACAGAGACCCAGGAGCACAGAGCACACACCAGCAAAACAGAAGGACAGGGAGGCAGGGTGCAACTAGCCAGTCCTCAGTGTATCCGCCAGGTGGCTAAGGGAAGGTCTCTTAGGAAAAACAAATGCACGTAGTGATGACATAGCTCAGGTAGGGACTGTCAAAGCCTTCCATTTCTTGTCACGTTCATCACCTGCAACGTGACCATCCCTGTAACTATCATCATACCATCACCATCATCATCAATCAAATAAACTAAACGAGTGACAATATGCACATCAGGCCACTCATCACGCCCAGCATGACCTTCCGTGTAACCATCATCACAGCCTCACCGTCATTACCATCATTAGCACCAGCAACGCTTGAGTAAGTGCCACTGTGTGACCGTGCTGTGTGCCTCATGAAAAGAGGAAGAAAAGCCTGGACCCGTCCCAGCCCTCTAGGAATGCATTATTATCATTATTAGCTAAAATGTGTCGAATGCTCACCTTGTATTATACCAGGCACTGTGTAAGGATTACACTGTACAATACCCTGTAAGGTATTAATGCTCTCGTATTACAGATGAGAAGATATAGAAAAGTTAACTGATGTGTCTGAGATCACACAGCTAAGGAGTGATTTGAACCCAAGTCATTCAGCTTTGTGACCCCCCTCAACCTCCCTGTGAGTAATATTGCCTTCCGCAGCCTTCTCCAGTGGTCTGCAAATTGGGGTGCATGCAAGAGGATCCACTGAGAAGATATTAGAATTGCTGCTCATTTTTACTTCTTATTTCATCCCTTTTGGTTTCTATTTTATGTGTTTTATAATATACTTAATTTACCAACTAATAGAGTACATATATAATTTATAAGTAAATAATCCATATTATGGGTATATGCTCAATTATCTATCAATAGACATGTGTAAGTAAAAAAAACTAGGAGACTCCTGGTCTCCTAGTTTGATGAGGAGAACTCCATAGCTGGGCAAATGGAAAATTATATTAACTGGTCCTGAGCTTACCTCTGGGGAAATACATTCAATTTATGTATAATTCTGAACTATGATATTGTATTCTGCAGAATGAAAGCCATGGTTTCAGCAAGGGACTAAAAATTATGACGTATCTTTCTTAATGGCCTATCTTTAAGTTTATCTCACAAACTGGGCTCACCAGTCTGTGTATAATAGAATGATCCTATTACTAACACACTCTTACTGGAAATAATCAACATGGGTTAGTTGTCTGATATGTTTTATTAATTAAAGAGATAGAGTTTCATCCTTTTCTAAGGCCCCTCTGAAAATGCCCCTAATTTTTCTGCCTTTGAAAAGTAGATATGTTGAATGATTTTGTATGTTATGGGAAGCCAATAGAATAAAAAAGGTAGATATATTTTTTAAAGGGAGTGCTTATCTTTTAGAGATACATAGTACAATAGTGAAATAGCATGAAGTCTAAGATATGCTTCAAATTAATCTGGAGTCAGAGACTGGATCAGGGCCTGAAGCAGCAGAATTGGCCAAAGGTTGATCATTATTGAGGCTTGGAGATACATATCCAGGGTACATGATGTTATTCTGCCAACTTCTGTATATGTTTGAAGTTCCCTAATAAATAGTGTAGTAGTCAAAATGTAAAAAAAAAATCACAACTTTTGATCTAAAGTAGGTTTCACAGAATATTTTGGTGTGCCCTTTTTAGCCTTTCTGAAATGTAGTAAATGTGCACACATCATTTGCTGCTGTGTTAGAATGAACCTTGCCCTACAAATACAATTAGGAGGAAAAAGAGAGGATCTGATTTAAAAAAAAAAACAAAAAAAAAACATTATATTAGCTGTACAAGGAAAAATTAAAGAAAGAAACAAATCTCGTGTGTCATTGAAATGAATGTACTTTGAAAACATTTTCTAGCTCACATCGATGGTATGGGCAACAAAGACAGAACTTTCCACACATGGGGTCCTGTATCATCTCTCCCTTCTACTGTGGTTCTGAAGGCCGAGACCGGTGACTCAGAATCCAGCTGGATCAGAGTGGCATCCCTCAGACGAGCACGAAGATGTTTGAAGGGCCCCACACACGTCTCAAGGGACACGCAGTGAGACGAAGACCAGAACTGCCATAGGGACAAGAAGAACCAACAAATGGTGACTGCTCTGCCATCAGAATTAAAGCACAGAAGAATCCGCCCATATAGTCACCAAATAACGCAGAGAAGGCAGGGAACAGCGAGGTTGATGATGGCCCACAGCTGCTGAAAAAGCAGGAAATCGCTTCCAAAGCAACACCCACCTGTTGGCCACACTACCGCTCCAAGAAACAAGTGCCATCCTGCCAAGAGGCCTCGGGGAACAGTCCTTCCGGAGTTCAGCCTCCAAGCTCCCTTCAGTCCTTTGTGTTCTGAGTAAGAATTTCCACACTGAGAGCTCAATTCCAATTACACCCCAAGATAGCATCAAAATGATAGGTAAATATAGGCCCAACTTTCTGGCCAGGCAGCCAAAGCACACGGCGCCACAGGGGAGAAAATGGGCCGATCCAGATCTCTCACGGTTATGACGTCTTCTTGGAGAGCCGCTGACGGCGGCTGGGCCAGTGTTCATCAGACCGCGCTACCGAGAACGCGCTGGGGGGAAGCCCAGGCGTGCTCGCCTGGATGAGGGCTTCCCTAGGAAGGGAGAGGATGAGCCATCTCGCAGTGATGTCTGAGATGAAAGGAGAGTTACAGATGAGCCCTGACGGCGTGACAACGCCGGAGTCCCAGGGCCCAGCTGGCAGTCTGTATCACGGCAGAGTCCTGCAATCACACAGCCTCAGAGGTTGAAGAGGTTTGACTCATAGCAGCTCTCCCCTGGGTGGAGGAGATGGTTTGGGGGATGGTTTAGGGGATGGCTTTCGACTCCACACAGCAAAACTGAAGTCACCCCAAATAAACACATAGCCTAAAGGAAAGAACAGTGCTTGACCTGAACATGCTTCTTCAAGGAAAACTTTTGTCACCCTCTATGGAGATCAGCATCCCTCGGCCTCTCCTGCGTAAGAATTTTGGAGGCTTCACTGCCCTTCCCACCCTTCCTTGATATTCAATGCTTGAATCAACTTTACAAGTGGTCAACATCCTTACAGCCTCATAGCCCTAGGTGGAAGCCTACCCCATCTGTGAATGGCACCTTCTGAAAACTTTTTCCTGGCCATCTGGCAGGATGGCCAGATGGGAAAAAGGTTCATGTTTCTTCTAAATCAGTAATTAATTTATTGATTCTGCACAAAAGAAATGCCTCTCAATGTGATAAAAGTTCTACATAAAAATATATTCTTCCAACATTGTATAAAATGGCAAACATTTGGAAATAATGGAAGAATAATAAAGGATGATACATCCACTCAATTTGATAATGTTCAGCCATTAATAATGATATTCATATAGAGAATATGGCAATCCTAAAAGATGCTTATGATGCTAAAATATTAAGGAAAGAAATCAGGACACTAAATTCAGCATTCATTAAATTCAAGTCATATTTTTTAAAGAGAACCTATTATAAAAATGACTAGAAGTGATCTCTCTTATGTAAAGCATCAAGAAAGTTAAATTCATAGAGAGAGAAAGAAAAGTTACTAGGGACTGGGGAGAGGGGATTGGGATTGATTGTTTAATGGATTGTTTAATTGTTTAACGGATTGATTGTTTAGTGTCAGTTTGGGATAATGAAAAGATCTGAAGGTAGATGGGGGTAAAGGTTGCACAACGTAAATTTACTTAATGCCATTGAACTATACACTTAAAAATTGTTAAAATGGTAAATTTTATGTTATGTATATTTTACTACAATTTTTTAAATGTGCCCAAAGATTACTAGAAAGAAATAAACTGAAAGTGAAGAGTACCTATATCTGGGAGGACTTTGATATTTTTTTCCTATTTCTAGTTTTCTATATTCTCTAAAATATGTACAAGGAACATATTGAGTTGATCATGGAAAAATCCAATAGGTCTTCTTTTATAAAACAGATTTCATCATGGTACTGAATAAAATATGTCTGTCTTCTTACACGTTTTTCAGGTCACTAATAATACATTTTCCTCATTTAGGATAAATATTTTTCCTAGCCTGATTACTCTGCCCATTTTACAGAGCAGGAAACTGAGGCTCACAGAGATCAGGTGGCCTCCCAGGATCACAGAGTGTGTTGGCAGTTACAGTTTTGATGAGGAAAACTGGACATTTTTGCTGAACGTGGCCAGCACAGACCACCAGGATTCATTTTGCCCTCAGACACGAGTTTCTCTAAGACATAGAGGAAGAGACCATCCATTAATTGGAATTCCAACTAGCCTCTTCCCTTCAATTAATGTTTTAGCTTTCATGACAAAGCAACAACTGATTAAAAAAAAAAAAAACTATCTTGGATTTAATCCAAAAAAGACAATTTCCCGATGGATCCTATAGCCAGCCAGTGAACCTGAGCAGACTTCCTCCACTTTCTGCTTCTCAGGATTAGAACCCAGGGGCCTTAAAACTCTGAGTTGTTAAGGACTCAGGCTCAGAAGGTGGGACGCACTGAGGGAGGAAATCTAGACTCATCTATTTTGGAAGGGTTTTTTTTTTTTTAAAAAAAGAGCTATTAGTGATTTAATATCATAATTCCATTCATTTTCATCAATTAGAATATGAAGCTACCTGAAGTATCCATTTCTCCCACGTTCTGGTTGTGTAGTACTTTATATAAGTCAGCAGAGAATCCAGAGGACTGTGGCAAAGGATCTGAATGTTATAATGATGAGGATGAATTCTACATCCCCTGATATTCAGGCCCTGGCTTTTCTTGCTCTCCCTCCACTTTTATTCCCGGCTAACTTTAATTAGCCCCAATTGCCAGCTCCGTGACCTTTGCACTCCTGAAGAATGAAAAAAATCAGGCAGTCCATGTCAGACACAGAAATATTCATAAGCTCTTTGCTAAATCCCCTGAAACAAAGGAAAGCAATTCTGGTATCCAGCACCTAGTAATTAAGGAACAACGCCTCATTAGTAATAGAGGGAATATGGAACAACGAGAGATCTCAGCCCAAACCCCTGCCGAGCCCAGAGAACCAGCTGGGTCAGTGGAGGAGAAAAATAGATACCGGTGAGTCAGCCAGGTTTAGTGCGCACTGACAGCCATCAAATCCAGAGGGCATTCTGTGAATCAACACCGAGTTGTCCTCTGGGGCTCCCGGTTCTGTGGAAGTCACAACAATAACACGGGATTCCTTGGAAATAAGCAACTACGGAGAACCCACAGCAGAAGGTCTGAGCAGGCACAGGGAATCGTCTTCGTGGCAAATGCGGGCTCTGATCCACGGGGCTGCACCGGATGCTGCGCTGAGGAGGAGCTGAGTCTATCTGGTGTCTGTCCTGGATAAACTGGGGGCGGGGAGGGGTCGGCGGCAACTGTGCCAGGCGTTTATTTGCCATCCCTGGCCTAAACTGTCGTGAAAATTTCTTTTCCAACAAGAGACTTCCCAGGCAACGCCGGTGTTAAGCAAAAATTGGGAAGAAGATGAAGTCTGCTGTTAGCAAAGCAAGCTTCCTTCTAACGTCCCTCCTCATCCAGTCTCCAGCACTCAGCTGCCCGTTCTCTCACTGACGTCTCAGCCCCTCCATTTTCTCCTGGGCCCTCAGGACGACAGCAGCGTAAAGGACTGACGTAAAGGACGTAAAGGACGGACATCTTGGCAGGAATCAAAACGCCCATTGATGAACTGGCACCAGGGTACAGGGACCCCTGTTGGGCGGGAGGAGACCTCGCCCTGAACTCACCCTCCCCCATCAGTGGTGAAGAACTCTGGCTCCCACAGAAGGAAATCCCTGATCCTGAAGAAGGGAGAAACCGGCATTCCCACTGCTTCATCCCACCAGACCTGTAGCTTCCTTCCTCTGCTACAACCACAAAGATGAAGACTCTTCCACAAAATCTAGAGGAGCTTGAGAGACTCCCAGTGCCCACATAAGCCTGACTAGAAGCGTCACATTGGGCCCAAGAAAGAAGGCACATGGTCTTTTTTCTGGGTTTATTGCCTTCCTCCAAGCAGCTATGACTAATTCACCTAAACAGTCCTTCTCTCACCCCAGGCTCTAGATGCCAATAAGGATGGAAGGACAGAGAAGGAGAAGCCCCCAAAATGGAAGAAGAGTGGATATTGTGTATCGTATACTGACATAGCAGCCCTCCAGGGGATTTGCACGTCTTCCTTTTGACTCTGTCCAGGAAAGAGATGCCCCCTAGAATCTCCCCTCCTCCTCAAAGTCCCAAGGATTTCTATTCCAAGCCTCTGACATTCAGTCTCTGGCAACCCTGTTGGGGTCTCAGAAGGCCACCACACACACGGGTACCTCTGTGAGAGGAGCAGAAAGGAGGGGGATGGATGCCCAGAGGCCATCTTTCTTCCTCATTTAAATGGAAGTCTGGACAAAAAGGCAGAAGAATTTAGACGAGTCTCTCATGTCTGGAATAGTACCACGCCTGGCCCAAAGGCCAGACTCGGCTCATTGCTATAAAAACTAGATCCAACCCTAGCCCTAGCAGGGTGAGCTCCCCAGAAGACAGCACAGTCTCTATTATTGCTACACAAGCTCAAATATTCAAGAAACTGATCCAAGGTCACCTGAGGACCCTTTCTATTCTGCTCTGAACCAAAGGAGTTTGGAGGCTACCCTTGCAAACCTGGACCCAATTCTCTGCCCCAAAACATAGCTAGGATATTTAATAAATGATGAATAAATGATAAATAAATGGATGAACCAATAGTTGACTCTGGCCCTTCAAGACCATAAGGTCTACCCAGAGACAGACCTCTTTGAATACATCCTTGTCTGGGGAGGATGAAAGGCCAGCCTTTCCACCCTTCCCAGGGACCCAGCTGGTCTCAGCAAGCTTTCCTATGGCTAAGTCGGCTCACAAGGGTCCTCTGCCATCTGTGACCCAGGGCTAGTCCACTCAGTCAGGACATGATGCTTCTCCTGGGCCAGCCAGCCTAGCACTCACCTGGCCAGCCCAGCCACGCCCTCCTCCCTGTGCCCACTAGGGAAGGACAGGTACATGGCACAGGTGAATTGCAAGGGCTTTAAGTCATGCCAACTCTGGTATCAATCATGGCTCAGTGATTTTTGGCTGAAAAACGCAGCAAGTTATTTAACCCCTCTGTGTCTCCATTTAACAAACTGTAATCAGAGGATAATAACCTCCAACTCATTGGTATTATCCTCCCTCCACTAACATGTGAACTCCACAGAGGAGGGCTGCCAGGCTACTTAACACCAGGGCTCTCCATTTACAAAGCAGCCAGTGTGTCTGGCGCCCCCAGAGCTGTGTGCTGTTAATTGCATGTGGTAGCCCTGCCACCAGAACAGGCATTTTGTCTGTCCTGTCCCTGGATCTACACTAAGTGCCTAGAATAATGCCTGACTCACAGTAGGAACTCAATAAATCTGTGTTAGGTGAATGAATAGAGCCTTTGTAAGGATTTGTGCAAATAATTTATGTAAAGGGCCTGGTTTTTGAGTTAATGCTCAATAGATGGTAGTGGTGATATTGGCGTTGATGGTGTTACTAAGTATAATGGGAAGAGCCTTTCCTGCCAGCCTGGCTTGTATAAATCTGCAGGGTGTGGACGTGAATGTCGAGGAGCATTCTGCACCCAGCCTTCAGCTCCAGAGGAGAGCGGCTCTGCCCACATCCTCCCACCAGTTTGCTGAAGACCTTGCCCTTCCCACCTGCTTGGCCTGGCCTGTGCCCTTCCTGCCCCAGCCCAGCTCTGTCCCCAGCCTGACCCCAAGGGGTCGGCTGTCTCATCTTCGTGTAAAAGTCAGGACTTTCCTCTTCCCTGCCTCCTCTTGGCTGTCTCATTTGGCACCAGGGCCTCTATTCAGGAGCCCAGTCCTACTCAAAGGCCACAGCTCCTTCTTGGAAGTGGCAAAGACCTGGAAACAAGAGGCTCAAACACCTCTGCCAACAGGGACGTTGCATAACAACTGCACCGTGTTCCAGGGGAAGGACACCTGGTTTCGGAGCAGAGAGTAGGGATGCCTCCCCACACGCAGGAGGCTGGGTAGATTTTTAAGCTGTTTCTCCATCAAAGGGACAGATTTGGTTTTGAAAATCAGACCACCCTTTCTCGTTTTCCACCATTACCGCGCCCACAGCTATCTCCTTTCTGGAGACAATAGGTGGCTGCCACCTTTGCACAATGTGAATAGTGTTAGGGAGGAACCCACCCCAGAAATGTGACCTCCCCAAATGCCTAGGATTCCACCATTGCTGATTCACTCCTTTGAGTTCAGCACCACCCACTCCTCTGTCTTGGAAAACAGATTCTCCTGAGAGAGGTAACACATTAAGTTCTTAACACCTTGAGTGAATAAATTCATCAGACATTTTATTTATCTTCCTGATAGAAGAGATATATATCTGTATGCTTGGCCTATGGGGCTGGAGTGGGTCTCGATGGAATCAGAGAAGAGGGAAGACTTTGAAGTCAACCTTTGTCAGTGTCTCCAGGTTTCCTAAAGCCTGGCCTGCCTACACCCTCCAATGACAGCTGGCTCTGGAGCTGTTTGTTTTAATGAGTTAATCACCAAAGGATTAGAACAAGCAACACACACAAGGGCCTA